CCCGGTACGAGCGAAGAAAGCACTCGATGGGCAGGCACACGCAAAACGTGGCAAAGCCATCAGAAGTGACGTAGAGCGATTATTTCCGTTAGACAGCGACCATCCACACCCAACACACGACGACGAACCTCGCCATTGTTCCCCCGATGCTGCAATCAGACACGAGCAATGCTTCGGAGACAGTGGTGGTCGAATACAGAAAGTCGATTAGCGTCCTTAACGCAGACGGGCCAGGTCTCGCAACAGTAAAGTAGAACACTATGAACCACAGCGATGTACACCCTTCCCGTAAGGGACGGTCTGATGTCATGGCGGTGCCACATGCGTCGCAGGTTGACGAAAGCTGTTCTAGCTTTTGCTATTTGTGATGTCATCTCCTCCCTAACACCATCACCACAGTTAGTGAAACAATCTGCGATAGAAGTAGACACGCTATTCACAATAGGGAACAACGGCTTGACCGGTGAGCGGAGTACTTCAAGCAACAGTTCAACTGGCCAGGTGCTAACCAGACTATATCGTCTGTAGTAGTTGAGGCTCCATGGGAAGTGCCATGTGAACCTCCTACTGAAGCAGAAGCGTGATCATGCATCCGAGCCCTGAAGAAAGGAAACGCAACAGGACTGGACGGGCTTCCTCTCACTCTTCTTAAGATGGAGGAAGATGGTTTCGTAGACCTCATTACTGATTTAATGTGTAACATCTGGCCATATGAGCGCATTCTGTCATCCTGGAAAGAATCACTGATTGTTCCCATTTTTAAGAAGGAATCTTGCAACGACTGCGCAAACCACCATGGAATAAGCTTGATCCCAATCGTCACCAAGTTACTAGCCTCCATCATACTTCGACGTCTGACACCGTTTAGGGAGACAAATATCCGCGAACAACAAGTAGGATTTCGACCAGGCCGTGGTTGTATCGACCGCTGCGTCAAGTCCTCGGACAACGCTATACACACCGTCGACAAACGGTTGTCGTGTTCTTGACCCAAAAAGGGCCTTTGACTCAGTTGACTGCCCCTTCACACAGGAATGCAGCAGAAGCATGTGAACATATTGAGTGCACTCAACTCACACACTTCTGACAGCGGAAGAGTCTACGGAGAGCTGAGTAGGTCCTTCGTCACTAGCAGCGGCCCCCGTCAAGGATGCCTTCTGTCGCCGTTCCTGTTCAATTTCGTCGTAGACGAAATAGTGGAGAGTGCACTAAGGGGACTCTAAAACGTAGGTATTGAATGGGCAGCTGGATAAAAGCTGTGCGATTTAGAGTACGCCTATGACATCGTCTGTCTGTTGGAATGTATGGAGGACGCGCAAAGCGGACTTGATAGACTAACACGTGCATTTGGCACATTCGGTATGTGCTCTGCACCTTCAAAGTGCAAAGTGATGCTGCAGGACTGGGTTTCGTCCACTCCCGCTCTGAAACTAAATGGTCAGGATTTAGTTATGGTGAATTAATTTTCTTATTTAGGTAGTTGCGTGATCAATGATGGCAACGCAGCAAGGGAGATAACCGCCCGCATTTCCAAGGCTCGAGCAGCCTACGCAGGAATCCAACACCTTTGGCGTAGACGCGACGTTTCACTGAAATCGAAAGGTCGTTCACGTTGTGCTACCGTTCGTTCAGTTCTGTTTTATGGTTGTGAGACCTTGAATTTGCGAGTGGAATATATCCATCGCCTAGAAGTTTTTGAGTATCAGTGTTTATGTAGTTTAGCCCGAATAAGATGGAGCGAACGGGTCATTAATCCGGAGGTAAGTCGTCGTGTTTTTTTATTACGTGTGATGAACAACAGACAGGGCGAAACCCATAGTCACGAAGAGCTGCTGTTCAGTGGTAGAAACCGGTAGCCTAGGCCCCGGGACTTCAAGTGGCGAATCACATAAGGCCCCGCTAGGTTAGGCGTGGTACTGAATCGGACGACAGCAAGGCTGTCCACCACCAAAGCTAGATGGCGCTGGCGGGGCTCGAAAATCGGACCATAGGGTCCAAATCTGAATTTGGTGTGCCAGCAGATTTGTACCTGATAGACTACCAAACACACGACGACTCACCTCCACGTTACTAAACCGTTCGCTCTCTTCAGGCCCACAAGCAACATTGATTGCGGAATGCACTGCTTACCTAACCTGATCCCACTGTTCGCCCACATCACCACGTTGAGGCGCACTTAGCTTACGAACTAGCTCTGACTCATAGCGCGCACAAACAGCTGGAGCAGATAGTCGATGATGAGCTATCGAATTTTGCTGGTTTTGTCGCCCACCAATCAGTCGGGGAGTGAACTGAATCAAAACTAATGCGTGATCAGACTCAACGCAGGCGGTTCAATAGGACCTGCAATTTTGCACTGAGCCACGCCAACAGTAACTTACTGTTATGTGGTGGATTTGAGTTAGCGTACCAGTTGAACTGAAGTGCCACGTTGCCGTCCGTCGATAGTTATGTCGGAAGTTGGTGCTTGATAGGAACAGATGATGGCTCGCGCAAAACTGAAGAAGTCGATGGCCGTTATCTGTTCGATGGCAGGGCAGAGCACAACTACCGCCTAGGCAAGCTTCTCATGCGCTCAGTTTTCCAACTTGCGCGTTGAAGTCACCTGCAAATACAAATATGTCGGAGCTTCGACTCATCCGAATGAGATCGGTGAGCTCATCGTAGAAAGTGTCCTTTTGCTTATCAGAACTGCAATTGGTAGGTGCATATGGTGATATAATGAAGAAACATCTTTTGGTGTTGCTTCCCTTCCGGACGCTGATTTAACCCTGGAGACGCACTGCACATAAGCGACTGTTGACTGGATCCAATCGATAAAGGAGGACTCGGCCCTGTTACCGAGTACAATACCTAACCCGCGCTGGCCCACTGTGCGAGCTTCGTCATCGCCTGATGTGTGAAGAACATATCTTGAAGACAAACCCGGCGCGCTCAAGTGGCTGCCGCACTCTGCTTCATTCGCTGTAGCTAATCAGGGCTAGAGGAAACCACGTGGAGGTCAACAGATGACGTGGAGACGATCCATGAAGAATTGCACAGAGCCATTATGTAGAGTAAGTTTCTCGCGCCTTCAAGGTTGGGGTCCGAAAGACTCCACAACTGGTTGGTTGGAGATATTGAAGGATAAAGCAGCGAACCGGCAGTAGTGGCGTTCTTGTTGTCGTTTCCTATCAGGTCAGAATGCTTGAAACAGTATGTATGCAGAGTTTGATTGCTTACTCTGTGTTGACCATAGAGATTCGCCTTCTTTCCCCTTTTTCAAAATAGGTCTAACTCCTATCCACCTGAAATTTTAAACCGTGTATGCATTGTGCGTTTGGTAGCGATCAGTATAGTTGGACTCACTGTATTTCGCTGTACGATGATGATAATTATGATGATGAGAGATAATGAGTGGCAGAATGAATAGACCTCATGCATCCCAATCTGTCTAACAATTCACTCGCCAGCTTGGTGATACGAGATGCTATTTTTCATTCTTATTTCAGCAGAGCTGGGCGCCCACGTTGTGAGCATACTATCGAAGGAATTCTGGACGCTCGATTGGTTGTGGCCATATTCAGTCCTGTGCAAGCTGACCTGATCTAATCTCTCTGCAACCTGTCTAATAAAATTCTTGATTTTAGTATTGGCGCTGTCCTCAATATTCTGATCTGTCAACCTTTCTTCCATGGAATGGGCAACCAAAACCGCGCAGTTTTCTAAAGCGCTATAGAAAAGCGCATTGTTCATGATTATATAAAATGAAAATGAGAGTATTCTCGCTATCCATTGAGAATTTTTCGCTTTCAGCTTTTAGCAAGAGGAATAAGTATT